CTGTTTGGATGTCTGAGACAGACATTTGCTCAGATTGTACAACAGTTGCCTAACAAAAAAAATGTAGTGCCTGGACAACAAAATAGCTTTGTCATAAAACTCCTCAAGTGTCCACTTTGATTTATATTAAGTTTTTAGTATAAAGAGAACAATGTCTACAAAAATTCCCAGAAAAACGTTGCGAATTGCAGTAACTCCTAAAGTCTCTTCATGCAAACACATACTATTATAAATTAGACAAGGACTCCATGTTTCTAAAAAGTAATCAATAGTTTCTCGTTCTAAAGGAAAGCAGGCAACAGAGAACTTTGGTCCTTTCCCATGTGCTACATAACAAGTTAGATAAAACAGCAGGATATCCGAATACTGAATCTGAAAGTAATCGATACCAACACTGCAAGCCAGCTATGCTAACACTACAGAAAAAAAAGGTTTTAGGTTAAAGACTTTGTACCTCCTTTGACCAGACTGCTGAAAGCAGACCTTTCAAACACTATTTTTTATCTAAAGGTTATTAGTATTAACTGAATAACCCATTTAGGACAACAGTAAAGATATCACACCCTTCACCATTTAAAAGGGCATACTAGGAATAAAGTTACCACCATCCTACATACAAGTTTTCTGGATTTACCACTAAGCTATGTGAGCCTTCACTTCAGTACAGTCACATATCCTTTTATTAAAAATGTGAATTACTGTTATCTATACAAGGAGGGGAAAGCCATTTGTAATCAAAAAGATAGCGTAATACAACTATATATTTCTGTGTACTTAGTTATAATTTAAGTATCTGGAACACATCAGGGTGGGCACTGCTTCAGCAATAGCCAATCTCCATTATTTACAGAAGTAGCCTATGACCTATTAAACAATTACATGATTAAACATCATTTACTTTGAAATGATTTGCAAATTGTGTAAACAAGAAAAAAAGGATAATCTATGTAGTGTTATACATGTTTTAAAAATGTTCAGTGATTAAAACCAAAATCAACAGAAGTTGCCTTTTCACTTCTGCAATGGTCAGAAATAGTGTTGTAAAGTAATGAATTTGGTAAGAGTCCCTTTCCTGCCCCCCACTCCAATTGCACTAAACTAAACAAAACAAAAGGCTACATGAACTCTTACCAATTTGTTGCAGCTGCAACCTACACCTTGGGAAATTTTAGTACCTATTTGAAGTAGCTTTACCACACAATTTTGCTTTATTATTTACAATCTGATAGAACTAAAAATAAGTACCCCTTCAGTAGCAACTGTGGACTCCTGCTTAAATTTTTGAAGAGTGCCCATCAACAAGCCAAATATACGTCGATTCCTGAATAAAAACAAAAAAGAAGTTTTAGATTCAGTTCAAGTACTAAGAGTTTTACTTGCATAAACAATCAGAGAAACTTTCCACCTCAGAGACATTTATTTTTAAAGGTTCAGTATTACTAAAGGCCACTAGCAACTGTGCCAACAGTCAGGGATATAATTTACAGTGACATATCGTATTTTGCTTAAGAGTAAGACACAGGTATTATCCAGAACACAGCACAGTTAGCCCTGGGAAAATTGGAAGTCTGCACATTTTACATCTGGCAATACTGACAGTAAGGAAATATTTATAAAAAAGAATTAGAGAGTACAGAAGAAAAGTTTGAGTAAATACAGTGTGAGCTATCAATAAGGCAGTGAACGGGAAGGTCATTGGGCTTTCTGAAAAACATACCCCCCCACCCAACTCAGAGGATTAAGAAGAAGTGGAGCCACAGGGGAAGAAAAGCTTATCTGTCACAGCTTGCCTAACAGTATCTTCTGCTATGAGACACTGCACTGTGGGATGAAACCAGACTTGCTTTCATCCCATTAAGTTGTATTTTGAGAAAACTTAAGCTAAAATTCTTCAAGTAATTCCCTTCTTCTGAACAACTGATTTCTTGAATTTCACTTTTTCTTTCAATTTAATCCCAAATTAAGCCTTTACAGCAAGAGGCAGACTTTCTTACTCGCCTTCAACTTTTACCCCACTAAGAGAGAAAGGAAATGCTACTCTCTTCACTTGGTACCACTCTGCTACAGTGGCACAAACCTAACATGGAAAGGTAGAAGTACCTGTATATTAAACAATAGAAACAAATTAAGTCTTGAGAGAGATTATTTGAAGTGTATTTGTGTATGAATGACATCCCAGAAGACACTGAGCAAGATCAAGAATTCAGTGGATGCTGTCCTCTTAAAGAACCTCTTCCCACTGCAAGTCACAGAGAGATCACTACTGGCTCTCATCTCCTCAGAAGACTACTGAAGTGCTGAACAGTAAAACTACAATTCTGAGGAAACAAATTTTTAGTTCCTGAAGCTCTAGGAATTTTGAAAGTCTGTGAGGAAAGCAGCTGGAAACTGGTGATGGAAGCAACAGCAGTCTGCTAGTGGCAATGTAACTGTAAAAGAAGCATGCAAAGTTGTCTTTTTTGTGCCAATTCATCTGGAGTCCTTAATAGAGAAGCTCTCTATATAGTTCCTTATTCCAGCTCTCAATCTTTTTATTTGAGGTGTAGATTATTATTGCACCAAGTGAGCTACAGACTGAAGTGGATGGAGTCCACAAAGCCGCAGATTTGTTTTTCCAACATCTCTTTCCAGTAAGACTGCATTTCAGCAAAGATTTTTACAAGCTACTCCAACAAAAATAAAATATAGGAAAAAGGAGATAAGCATAGGAGGAATCTAAAAAGAAGCAGGCAAAGGGAAAGTCAGACTGTACACACAATCATGAATCTCAAAGTAGTAAAAGAAACGTGATGGAACCACTGAATTATAAAAGGGAAAGGAACCCACACCCAAAAGCATCCTTCAGCCAACAAAATAAACGATGCAAGACAGTTACAGCAGCCCAGTATATTAGCCTATATGTATTTCTGTCTTACTCAAAGACAATCAGTTACAGTAGCAATATCAAACCTATTCCTGTAGGTGGCCTGAGAAGTAGAACCCCTGTCAGTTACATGAAGTGAATGATGTTATTGTTGTGAAGTATTTTGAGAGAATAATTTTTTAAAATCTATTTTATATAATTATTTATAACATCTTTAACATAATCTTTGATATGCAATAGCATCTGTAAGATACTTCTAAAATCTAAAGCTACTTCCTATGCTAGCACTCAGCAGTACCACTTCAGTGCTTAAGAGATTTCCGCATACCTTTGTTTTCCTTTCTCATCCATATTTTGGTCTTGTATAAGGTCTCGACGTGTTCGCTCTTTGGAGGTAGCAACAACAGAAGATGGCAACGCTGGCTACAACAGAAGAAAACAAGCTATTTTGTTTGTGTTCCAGATAAGCACATTTCTTCCTGCACAGCTCCATTTATCACAGATTACCTTTTTAATATCATCATCCTCTGCGTCGCTTTCTTGGCGTGATTCTCTTCTTGTCCGACGTTCTCCACCCAGCCTGAGGCAAGAAAAGCATTAGTGGTCACTGTCTGCACTAGCACAAGAAAAATACAAGCCAACATATCCAGGCAGAAGAACCAACACTTCCAGGGAAAATCTCTCCATTGTTCCAATGCCCAGTAAGTAGCATTTTACAGACAGAATCTCCTGTTGGTAAATATCACTGAAAGATAACAGTTTAACACTACTTGTACAGTAACATAAAGCAGAAGAGCTCACATTTACTATCATATTTGACTTTTCAGAATACCTTCGGAATTTATTATTTGGAATATTTCAATTCTAGAATCTCTACAATGGCAATCTGTCTTGTGATAAGGGAATCACGAGACAGATTTAAATGCATCAAGATGTAAGATTGGTATGATTTGTCAAAGGGGAAATGCTAAATTACCTAGCCAAATACCTAGAAAACAGGTGAGGAGAGGCAGAACACTTAGGAACTGAGAACCTGGATGAACAACCAGGCTGTGTGTTAAAGAAAAGTTACTGTCACCTTTAACTCTGAGCTCTGTGGCACAGCACTTGACTACTGGGAAAGACATTTCAAAGTATTCATTTTGCACTAACTCAGCAAATCAGAAGCAAGCCCTGATCTAGTCAGGAACTACCACTGCATGTAAGTGACCACAGATTAAAGCTTACTATAATCAGTCACATCTGCTGGATCTGCATCCAGATGTGAAAGCTCAAAGTGCGAGTCTATTGTCACACAATATCAATTTGATTTATTGAACGAGACATCTCTCTCAAAAGTCAAATTGTGTCTACTGTAAAACAAATTGCATCCACTAAGTAGACTATAATATAGCAGATTGTACACAAAGCAAACCAGAAAATTCCAACAATCTTCGCATTGTTGTATCTTTCTATTGTTGCTATAATTTTAATATTGCTCTAAGGTATGAAAACAAAAAAATAAAATTCACCACAGTCAATTGCTATAATCTAAAAACATTTCCAAAAAGTCTTGAACATGCAGTCTCTGAAGAACACAGTGACAGTCATCAGATATCAAGTTATTGAATCTAAGTGTTTTAAATTTTCTGTTACAAATTCTCATTCTGAAAAAGATACATCCCTGCATCAGTTTTTACACTTACCTACTGGTTGCCCCTTCAAAATCCCTCTGCTTGGCTGGGGGTCCTCCTCCACTATCCGAGAATCCACGCCTAAAAGGAAAACACTTGCGATCTCAAAATAAGTTAGGCTAACCCCAGGTCCACCTTAAGTGTGCACAACCAAACTGTATTTTGGCTTTGTGGTCATGATCTAAGTTTTATTGAGCTCTATCATCCTTTACTGTTACTACTGCAACAAGACATTAAAACATACTGGTTGTGAACCAACTAATTCAAACTTCAATTTACTGGACAGACTGAACCGATGGGCTGAGGCCAATTGTACGAGGTTCAGCAAGGCCAAGTGCTGAGTCCTGCACTTGGGTCACAACAACTCCATGCAAAGCTACAGGATGGAGAGCTGCCCAGAGGAAAAAGACCTGGGGGTGCTGATTGATAGGCAGCTGAATATGAGCCAGCAGTATGCCCAGGTAGCCATGAAGGCCAATGGCATCCTGGCTTGTATCAGACTAGGGAAGAGACTGTACCCTGTACTCAGCACTGGTGAGGCTGCACTTCAACTACTGTGTTCAGTTTTGGACCCCCCACTACAAGAAGGACATTGATGTGCTGGTGTGTGTCCAGAGAAGGGCAACAAAGCTGGTGAAGGGTGTAGAGAACAAGCCTTATGAGGAGCATCTGAGGGAACTGCAGTCATTTAGCCTGCAGAAAAGGAGGCTGAAGGGAGACCTTATCACTCTCTACAACTGCCTGAAAAAAAGGCTGCAGTGGGAAGGGGGAGGTTTGTGGGTCAGTCTCTTTCCCCAGGTAACCAGCAGGAGAACAAAAGCAAACAGCCTCAAGCTGTGCTGGGGAAGATTTAGATTTGATATTAGGAAACATTTATTTGCTAAAAGCTTCAGCAGGCACTGGGACAGGTGGAGTCACCATTCCCAGAGATACTTAAAGAGCCATGTCAATGTGGGGCTTCAGGACACGGTTCAGTGGGGGACTTGGCAGTGAGCTGCTAGGTTAACGGTTGGACTTGATGAATTTAAAGGTCTTTTCCAACCAAACCGATTCTATGATTCTGCACTGACTTAATGAATAGGTACACTGAAATGAAGAGCCCCACGATGCTCACGTGTTCATATTTGCAATGATTTTCCAGAAGTATTAAATCCACTACATACCCCATTAAAAAAGAACTACTGAACAAAAATGGGCCTTCTCATTCTACTTGAGGTGGAGGGCAGGGGGGGGAAGGAGGGAAAAAGGGCAAACCTACAAGAAAACACTAGTGGTTTTACCTACATGTGTTTCAGAATTCCTGTCAACTTCAATGCTCTCAGTTCTTTCTGGAAAAGCTACCAGTTTTTTATTGCTGAGAAACTGATTTTCAACAATTTCAGAGAGACAAGGTCTCAAATACCATGCAACACCTTCCTTAACTTTGATGTTTCCCCTTATTTTTCAGGCTAACGGCTGAAACGGTATGGGAACATCACCAGTTTAAACTTGTTACAACTCATAATAAGGAGGTACTTTACATTTCAGGTGGTGACACAAAATCCCAAATGCCCTGTAGGCCAGTTTTGGTGTCTGCTGGCTGAAACAGCAGCACAATGAGCAACGGCATCAGACGAGAAAGCTAACAGCGTCAGGAGAGCAAACCGGTGCCAGGGCAGAGCGAAAGAAACCTCCCGGCGCATTTCTGCAGCTCCTTACCTTAGCAATAAGCTCCCACGCCCTCTACCTCCACCAGGGCCTGTGAGGGCTAACAGTCTGTTCTGAGGGGGCCTGCAAGAGAGGGCGGACGCTGTTAGCGGGGCCTGCCCCGACC